TTCAGTGGGAAATAGAACATAAAAGATCTGCGCTGAAAATTTCCCAAAGCAGCCGATGTTGTCTAATTTCAATGGAATTCTTAACCTGACACTTTTCAGAGAGACTGACTGTCAGGGAACTGACCCTTGGAAAAATCAGGATAATGGCACATGTTATTGCTCACAGATTTTAAGATTTTCCTATGTAAGTGTTACATTGTGCATCCAGTCCAGGGTTAATAGTGCCCAGACAGAATCTGCCATAGTACATTTATGTATCAAACAGGGTTGTAAATAAATAGTAAATAAATTCAAAAGATTTTCAAAGCCAGAACTTTTAAGGCCAAAACTCAGAGATTTCTCTGAGATTTGGAATTGAGGGGGGATGCCATTTCAGTTGAGGGAACTGAGGCTCCTAACAGGTTCCTGATGCTGGGCAAAAGGAAGGAGTAGTGGCAGGATTATTGGAATTTGATTTGTGCCCTGTCTGGGGAAGGCAATGTAATTTCTTGTCCCTTCTGCCTCCTTGGCTCTGTTGGAGGAGACTCTTTGCTCCTGTTTCCTGAATTTCATTGATAAGGTCAAACAGGCAGGATCAGCAGGGAAAAGGCACGAGGAACTCAGTCCTACATGGAGAACTGAGTTGTGTTTAATCATTATTATGATAATATAACATTTAAAGTGCAGTGGAGGCATGGGGCTGCTAACAGAGCCATGTGGTGCCTGCACCAAAAATCCATCAAGGCCATTATTTCACCTCCAGCAGCCCCATGTGGCTGCCACCAGGGAAGGATGAAAGCATGAGGAAAACACACTTGCCCAGGATATTCTCCAAACCTCCAGACATTTGTGCCTCAAAGATCCCTCAGGTTGGGGGGTGCTGCAGTGTTCCTCACCACTGGGTATATTTTGTTTTTATTCCTATTCCTATTCCTATTCCTATTCCTATTCCTATTCCTATTCCTATTCCTATTCCTATTCCTATTCCTATTCTTGCCATATTTCCCTGGCCCCATTACAGAAGGGAGGGAGGGAGGAAGTGAAATTGCTGACATGCTCCTTGACTCCTTCTTCCCTTGGCCTGGCCTTCTCCATCCTTTCCATATCCCTTTCCCTGGAATATTTATGCAGAAGGCAATGATTGTCTAAGCATTTGTGATTCTCACAGCCATAGATCAGTCAGATCAGTCTCAAAACTGACTGTGACAGTCATGCAGAAACATTCTTATTTTGGGAAGATGAACAGGAAGGTGCAATGTGTCTTTAAAAAGCTCCTTATCCAGGGAAACCTGGGTCCAGAACATCACCCAAGAGCCCGAGAAATTTGATAGATGAGTCTCCAACATTCTTGTCATGTCTCCCCTTCTCGTTTTGCCCCCTTCCCCAGGCTGGAAGTGCTGAGAGGCGTGCTGTGAGGTCTGCCTTGTGTCGGGGAGCCTGTCAGAGCTGGGACATGCAGCCCATGGCCTGCAGCTGGACTCACAGGAGTCTCCATCAAGCACTCATCCACACGTCTCTCCCGGGCGGAATGCCCTGGGGTTCGGCACTCCTTTGTTTTGAAAGCCACAGTTATTTGTATCAGCAAAGCAGGCTAAGAGTGCCCCAAAACGAGAGGGAGGGAGGAGAGAGAGAGGGAGGGGGCAGAGTTTCCGTGCCTGATGGAAGCACACTCAGAGAAACAGGAGAGACGCTTTACTGGGGTCTGATATGAGACAGAGCATCAGTGGTTTTGGAGTGAAGCCCAGGTGCCATGGCTGTGAGGGGGACACGGGCTGGTGCAGGCACAGCAAAGGAGACCCTGTGAGGATCCAGCTCTCCCTTGGGTGCTGCCAGGCTTCACAAGGCACAGGAGGGCAATGGGGAGCAGCAATGGGGTTTGAAAGCTGCTGCTGAATGCACATGGGGTCAGCAGATTGTGCGGTAGAGAAAATCCCCCAGTCGGGTTTCTGGGAGAGCAGGGAATACGAAATCCTTTTTCTCCAGTACATGCTACACAGGAATGACCTGGGGACATGAGAGACAGTGATAAGTGACTCTCTCCATCCCCTTTTATCCTGTTTACAATACAGAGGCTTTCCTTGAACAAAACCCTTTTTTTCCTCTCTATGCTCCTGGCTGTTGTGTCTAAATGAGCCAATTTGCTGAAGGACTCCTCCTGGAAGGACTTGAAGTCTAACAAGAATAGACACTGGGTTGCAGCATGTTGTTTCTGGCAAAAATCAATTTCTTCACAAAAGAATAGAAATCTGTTCTTGTATTTCAGTGCTTGCCATTTCATCAGGACTCCTGTGATACCTCTCACAGCCTTGGCCAGGAGGGAATCCCAGGGTCTATTTCTATTCAACCTATTTCCAGAAGTGTTTGAAAATGGATCTAATGGCTCAGGGAAGGGGGAGCAAAGGATGGGGAGTGAATGTGTTTGTTACTGCTGCAGTTAATGGTTTTGTTGATATGCTGTTTATCCTTGGGCTGATGTGATTTCTGGGGCTCAGTTGCTGTTTGACATCCAGGGGATAATCTCTTGCCAGAGGCCAGGCTGGCTGCGTGGCAGGGCAGGGCAGACTAAGTTTGATGCATCATCTGAGGCACAAGAGATGGACCCACAGGGACAGAATCTCTCATTAATTAAAGATGTGTTGTTGTTTCCTTCTTTTGTATCTGTGTGGTGCTCAGGGATGTGTTCTCCTGTGACAAGGCTGCATTCTTCAGGTGCTCACCCTGAACTGCAAATGAGCAACAACAGAAAAAACCCAACACTTCGGAGACTGTTCCAGCCTCCGGGTTTCCCAATTTGCCTACTCTCACATCAGGAGGTCTCTGCCTTCAGCTTCCCCACCTCTGAAAATAATTTCTCACTTTTCCTCCAACATTTGTCAGCCTTCAGTAGCCTGAATTTTTGCTGTACAGTTATTTTGGTTTTGCCTAGGTCAAGTGCAGGACAAGGCTGAGGTTGCTGAAGGAAGTTTAGGATTTAAATCGGTGTATTTTATTCAGTAGTATTAGAGTGTTTTATCTGGATGGACCCAGTTTAAGACATTACTCTTGTTGATAAGCAGGTTTCCCTTCACACCATAAGTGGGAAGGGCAGCACAAACCCAGAAAAGGTTGAGAATCAGCTCAACATTGTGGGGAATTTAAAGCCTGAGGAACAAGTATAAAATGGCAACATTAAACAGAGGGAAGAAATAGTGGAGCAGGAGAGAGCTGAGTGCTCGTCTGGACCATGAGAACAGAGGCTACAGACTTTTAAATTATTGATCTTGTGGTATAGAGTTTAATGCTTTACAGAATACAAGCCTTTCTAATTTTCCCAATCAAGCTCCTATTAGCATGATGTTAGATTTGTTGGCAAGAAGTATTTTTCTTTAAACCACAGTGACCAGACAGAGTTATGGTCCTAATTTGAGGTTTTTAATCAATCAGTGTTTGTAGCTGTGCCTCTGATGTCCTGCTGCCCTGACTGACTGGGCTATACCTCCCCACCACGTTGGGTTTTTTTATAATTCACCTTCTCCTTGCTTTTCCCATGAAGTAAAAGGTGACAGGAATTCATATGGCCCAGCAGACTCTGACCATAAAGACATTGGATGTTGTAGCCCAGTACATACAAGGAAGAGTTGTAGCTTCACCTGTGGTGGATTATCTGGTCCAAACAATGAAGAGTAAAGTGAAAACCAGTCTCTCATCCAGCCCCAGAGCAAAGCTCTGTGAGGTAGGGCAGGAACCTGCAGCTCCACCATGAACGGGTGACATCCTGCTGGAGTGTATCTCTAAGCATGGAGAAAAAACAGGATTATTAAGAAAGTAAAACTATTTGCAGGGTGGACACTCTAAACTGACCGTGATCCTGTGTGAACAAACCTGTGAAGTGCAGGCAGTTCCCTGGCATTGAAACACTGAATGGGACAGCAACAGTGCAGAACAGGTGTGATGAAGATGAAAGAGCAGGAAAAGCTGTTTTAGGAGGAATTCCTGGATGTAGGGTTCATCCTCCGAGGAAGGAGCACCTGAAGAATGCAGCCTTGTCACAGGAGAACACATCCCTGAGCACCACACAGATTTAAAAGAGGAAAACAACAACACATCTTTAATTAATGAGAGATTCTGTCCCTGTGGGTCCATCTCTTGTGCCTCAGATGATGCATCAAACTTAGTCTGCCCTGCCCTGCCACGCAGCCAGCCTGGCCTCTGGCAAGAGATTATCCCCTGGATGTCAAACCAGCTCAGGATGCAGCTCAGGATCTGCATCTGCAGGTGTTGGTCACCTGGACTCCTAGAGGTGACCTGGCCTCTGGAGGTCCCACCTGCAGAGCTGTGTGCAGCCCCTCCTGAAGCATGTGGAGCTGCTCCAAGGCTGGAGCCCCTCTGCTCTGGGGCCAGGCTGGGAGAGCTGGGGGTGCTCACCTGGAGAGAAGAAGGCTCCAGGGAGAGCTCAGAGCCCCTTGCAAGGCCTAAAGGGGCTCCAGGAGAGCTGGGGAGGGACTGGGGAGAAGGGATGGAGGGACAGGACACAGGGAATGGTTCCCACTGCCAGGGGGCAGGGATGGATGGGATACTGAGGAGAAATTGTTCCCTGGCACAGGGTGCCCCGAGCAGAAGTGGCTGCCCCTGGATCCCTGGCAGTGTCCAAGGCCAGGCTGAGCAGGGCTGGAGCAGCCTGGGACAGTGGAAGGTGTCCCTGCCAACGGCAGGGCGCAGTGGCGCTGTACCATAAATCCATTCCATACTCCCGTGCTGGGGACGCAGTTCCGCGAGCCCAGGCGGCTGTCACAGCTGACACCGTTTCCGCTGCCCGTGCCGGGAGGCTGCAGCCGCTATTTCCGACGAGACAGCCATGAACGATGGGTGAGGGAAGCGCCGCCCGAGCCCGGCCCCTCACGGCCCCTCCCGGCCCCTCCCGGCCCCGCCCCGCGCCCGCCACGCCGGTCTTGCAGCGCCCCCTGGCGGCCGCGCGGGGCGCAGGGGCGGGACTGCGGCCCGGGAGAGGCGGAAGCGGAAGCGGCGGGGCCGGAAGTGGCGGGAGGCGACGTGTGCGGAGCGGAGCCGGTGCGGGATGGAGGGGCTGTACCAGCAAACCAACAAGTGCGTGAGGGATCTGGGGGTGTGGGAGGGGTTCTGAAGGGCTGTACTAGCAAACCAACAAGTGCATGAAGGGTTGAAGGGTGTGAGGGGTTGTACCGTCACACCAACAAGTGCGTGAGGGATTGAGGGTTCTGAGGGGCTGTACCAGCACACCGACAAGTTTGTGAGGGGTTGAGGGGTGTGTGAAGGGCTGTACCAGCAAACCAGCGAGTGCGTGAGGGATCTGCGGTGTGTGAGGGGCTGTACCAGCACACCAGCAAATTTTGAGGGATTGAGGGGTGTGTGAGGGGCTGTACCCCCACACCAGCAGTTGCTGAAGGGTGGAGGGTGACCCGCAAGCCCAGTGTGTGAGGCCGGCTCTGGGAGGAGCTCGGGCCGGGCCGGGCCGGGTGTGCGGGAGCCCAGGACCGACACCCCACAGGTCTCAGCGCCCTTTAAAAGCGTTTCCCATAAAATCCATCCCGGAGCGGGGCCCCGGGGGGAGCAGAACCCCGGGCCGTGTGTGCCACGTCAGCCCCGAGGGCTCGGCCGGCCCGGGGCACCGGCACCGGTGATTCCCGTTTATTGGTTTATTTAAAGCACGCCCGTTTATATGGATTTTTGCAGCAGGGTTTTTGAGGGGTCTGGCTGCCGCAGTTTAAACCACCACTGGAGGTGTGTCGCTCTTTGAGGATAAATCTCATATTTCACAGATTATGCCAGTCTGGAGAGGGAGGAGTGGTGTGGGAATTGCACAATAAGGCAAAAATTCTCGCAGTTCTGTTGCTAATCCCTATGGAATAACTCACGGGAAAGGGACCAAAGGACACTGTTAACCAATATTTCAAATTTCCATGGTATTTTGCATCTTTGTGCGGCTCCGCTAAGGGTGGTGGGGTGGTAAGAGACTTGAATTGAATCTTGTATGGAATCATCATTTCTGTGTCATTAAATAATGATACAGAGTGACCCTGAAGGGAAGAGCAGGACATCCTGCTGGAGATCTGGAAATGCAGGAATGTAACAGCAGCTGTTATGGATATGGGGACTGATGTGTTGTTCCCATTTCTGTAGTGCCTTATTTTGTGATCATTAAATGGTGCAGGTTGGAAGGACTTTAAAGCCCATCTAGTTCCAGAATAATTTAACAACAATCGATATTTATTTTAACTTTGTTTTCCTATGCCACTGCTTGTCTAGCTACAGTAATTTTTTCTTATAATTACAAGCTTTCAATTTCACTTGATGCCTGTGAATTCACATGTTGTGAGACAGTGAAAATCATTCCTTATTCACCTTCTCCTCTTGGGTGTCTCCCCTCTGTCATCTCCAGACCAAGCTGAACAGCTGTTTCATGTGTTTTTCATTATCTTCACCTCGATTTCTGTTTTTAAATAAAGTTACTTTGTAGGTGCATATGAGGTGAGAGCACAGCTTGCTTCCTGCTGAGGACCTGGGCTGGTGGTCAGGGATGGGCTGTCTGCTCTGACACTGTGTTGCTGATTCCTGTGCTGCTCTAAAAAGTGCATTCCAGTAAAACAAGCTGAAAAGTGAGGTGCTGGAAATGATTTTATGGCTGTTAACTGACTTTTCTGTTCATTTTCATCTCCTGACAGGCAGGTCCATGAGGTCCAGTCTTACATGGGACACCTGGAGACTTCAGACAAAGAGTCAGTGCACTGTAAGTAATGAATGAAGGGAGGGAGGTTTATTTAGTTTGCATCTTTAACTTTGTATGCCTGCTCATTAAATTTACAGTCATTATTGGAACAAATTTAACTCCAGAGTCATTGTGATCAGCTGCTGAGACACATCACCAGTTCAGAATGCATTGAAATTGTATTGCTGTTTAACTTCAATAAGGTGATGTTTGTTGGAGTGTGTAAAAGAGAGATCAGAATGCAGAAATCAAATTAAAACCTTTAGATAAATTAAAGTATATTAAGCCACTCCCATGACCATCTTGACAGATGCTTTGTATGAGGACAGAGCAGAAAAGACAGGACAAGAATTTGCTTCATCTTCCTGTTACAGTTCTCTAACTGACAGTGCTGGCTGTGGATGCTTTAATGTCATGCTAGAATGCCAGATTTTTGGTGCTGTTAGATTTTGGAACTCATGGTCAGGGTGTCTGTGCAGGCCTTTAGCACAAACAGATTAAAAACCTCCACATTGATGCACTCATGGAGATTTTTGAACACCTTGAATGAATGAACGCCTTGGTGTGGACAGAACTGCAGGCTGGGAGCATCCCTGGGCTGGTTTGTGAGGAGCTCACAAAGCTGAGAGATGTGACTGTGCCTGCCCTGCTCTGTGGTTACTCCCTGAGCATCCACCAGCTGGCAGCTTTCCCCTAAAGATGCTCAGTGCAGTTTTGGGGAAAACGCTGGGATTTTGTGTGCAGGAACTTAAGCAGGATGCTCCTGCCATTCCTGCTGCATCAGTCAGAACCTGTCATTCCACCTACTAGGGGAAGTGTGTAGAACCATTAGGTCTGAAATTGCCTCAGTCAATTTGGACTATAACCCTGTGTTCATAAATGACTGTAATAATGAGATGCTCTGATATGTGTGGCAGGACTTTTTACCCCAGTGCAGAATTGGCAGATGTATTTTGGACCTGTGTTTGAACCCTTAATTCCTGCATGAGTCACTAATAATGGGTTTCATCAGGAACTTTGATGTGAAAGGATACTGCATTGACTGGATGCATTTCTGCACATGTTCACTGACTTCTCTTACTTAAACACATTGGTGAAGCATGACTGGGCTCTAGGAAGGGCTGTGATATCAAAAAATAACAACTTACTAATTCTGATTGTGGTTTTTGTGGTGGTTATGCTACTCCTTCTACAATGCCAGACTTCCCAGGCTGCTGTTTGTTGGGGGTGATTTTGAAAGTCCTGAAAATTAGTAAAACTTGCCATTTTGCTTCTATTGCTTGAGACCGTTTCAAGAGATAGGGTTATAGTTTACATAGTTTATAGTCACTTCATCAGTTTACATAGTTAATGAATGAATAAAGATATGTATTTTCTCTCTATAAAGAGATCTGTATTTCTCCCTATATAAAGATACTAGTGTGTATTTCAGAATTTATGGAAAACAGGATTATCCATGGTTGAAGAGCAGGAATAGGGGCTAGAAAATGAAACTTGCAGTTTACCTTTTCCAACTTTGAGCAAATAGTCCCTTCTTGCTCAGAAAAATGTGTAGTGGTGTAGTTTGGCCTGACAGAAGTTGCTGTAACTGTCTGTCAGCTCCCCTGTGTTGAGTTCAGCTGCAGTAATTGATGGAGAGATGGATTAGGACAATTTGATTGATTTGTCTCTGGATGTGAGTCAGTCACTCTGGCTCTGTGAGAGCCAGGGCAACGACAAGGCTGTGTGTGCTCTCTGCTTCCCTGGCTGCTGCTGAGTTGTTTTCTGGGAGGTCCTGATATGTGCAGTAGTTGGCAGGTGGTTGATGATGCTTCCCTGTGTTCTTGTGACAGCAAATCCTGCTGAGGGAGCAGGAGGGGGCTGCAGGGTGAACGTGGGGGCTTGAAATCCTAATTCATGGAGCTAGCTGATGGGGAAAGAGGCTCAGATGGATGGAATGAGCAGGGGCTTTCCTAGCTGCCTTCTCAGAGGAGGGGGGAAAGGTGAGAGTGTCAAATTACTGAGGTAGAGAAGTGACATTTCATTATATTTATAGTTCTCAGTTACCTAATTATTTTCATCCAGTAAAGATTTGCATCTATCATGTTTTACATACTGCTTTGAATGCTTTTGAGCATTTGCCTTCATCAGATTGCAGTTGTCTAATTCAAATCAAACCCTGTTTTTATTTCCTTGCAGTGGTAGAAAATGAGATTCAGGCAAGAATAGACAACATATTCAGCAACTTGGAACGTCTGGAAATCCTGTCCAGCAAAGAACCTCCCAACAAGAGGCAGAGTGCCAAACTGTGAGTTCACTGCTCTGCTGTGATTGTGCAGGGTAGTCTTTGTAATTGTTTTAATTAAATTTATTGAAGCACTTGGCTTTTTGATTTGTGTGAAATCTTTATATTTTGCATAACTGATCTCTGTCCTCTACAGTAGCAAAATTGAGGCACAGAGGCAAAATCACTTTCCTGCATTTAACCCCAGGATCATGAGAATCATTAAAGTTGGAAAAGGCCTCAAAGATCATCAAGCCCAGACTGGTGATGCAGCTGCAGTCATGGCTCTGTTCTCAGATGAGCACAACATGCACTTGGATGCTCTCTCTGTCACTTTCTTTTAATGGCATTTGTGGAGGTAGAGAGTAAAATTCCTTCATTCAGTGTCATTTTTCTCTAGGCCATTTTCCAGGCTGTTGGTGACTGAAATAAAGAGGTTTCTAAAGCTAGCAATAGTTTGAGCAGGAGGTTGGACCACAGACATCAGGACTTGCTGTTCTTAATTAATTCTGTGACTCAGTTATTAATGTTTGGTCCAAAATGCCCTTGTAGAAAGTAGGGGTGGGTTTCATGTCACCTGTATTAATGAAAGAGGTCAGTATCTGAAATAGTCATTGATTTCTTTGTAGAATCCTGGAATGGTTTGGGTTGGAAGGGGCCTTAAAGATCAGTTCCAACCCTTGCCATGGGCAGAGACACCTTCCACTAGACCAGGATAGTCTGGTGATCAAACATTAAATTTTATCAATCATTTCATCAGGGCCAGTGGAGATCTGGACAGGATTTGTTCCAACCCAGTGGAGATGTCTGAGGTGTCTCCTGTATTGCCCACTGACTTTTGAGCTCCTTTTAATAAAACCTCGAAGTTCAGAACATGATGCTAATTAAAGAAAGTTGAAAGCATCATCTTTTATGTGAAGGGAAAGGGTCATAAAATAGAACCTGTACAAATCCTACCATCTTTCCAAATCTGTGTTAAATGAGGAATGGATACAGTTATATAACACCTGAAGAGACAATCCATGGCATAGGATGTCCAAGGCAGCTCAGGAGTTCTGCTTCACATTCTGTCATTAGCCTGGAGGCTAAATAATTGATGAAAATGAACAATCACCTGTGAAATAATCACCTGTGAAGTAGAGAAATGAGACAGGGAAGATGTAGGTGTGGAATTTCAGCCTGCATCTTGTAGAGAAGTAGAACCCATGATTCCTTGTTAGTCGTGGCTGTTAATTTGCGATGCTCCTTTGCTCATACAGAAAAGCAGAGTGGTTTTGTGTTGCTGGTTCTTTGCAGGCGAGTGGACCAGCTGAAATACGATGTGCAGCACCTGCAGACAGCCCTGAGGAACTTCCAGCACCGGCGCTACCTGCGGGAGCAGCAGGAGCGGCAGCGCGAGGAGCTGCTGGCCCGCACCTTCACCACCAACGTAAATATCCCTGCTGGGGCTCTCTGCGCTCCAGCAGCTCACACCCAGCAGGGGGAGGCAGGCAGCACTGCTGCGAGCTGCTCTGAGTGACAGCAAGGTAGAGAGCAATCAGAATATGTGGGGATAAAGTACAGCTCTCGTGAGGAAAAGCTGGGCTCTTACGGCAGCAGGAAAAGGCTCCAGAAGCTGCTGCTCCTGTTTTATCCAGTGCAGTTCCACCTGGATTTATATAGCAAATGTAAAAGGGTCAGTGAGGTGGGTACCAAAGTGTACATTTCACTTGGATTTGTGTTAAATGTCTGCCAAATCCTGAGATCTGTGAAAAGCCTGACTTCTACACTCCCCACTGGCAGCAGGTGTCAGCAAATTTCACTGAAGCCAGACGCAAATCACACAGCTGGGACAAAGCCCTTGCTTTTTGCCTAGAAATGAGTCCAAAGTTTGTAATAACATGAATGTGTTCCACCTCTTCTTGTTAGTTCCTCCATTGGGAAGTCCCCCCAGTGCAAATTCCTGGAGGAATTTTGCTCTGTATAATGTAGGCTTCTTTCAGATTGCACTTTTCTGCAACTGTAAAGTCAGTCTTAGGGTTTTTTTTTTTTGGGGGGGGGGAGTTTTGTTTGTTTTTGTTTGGATTGGGGTTTTTGTTATATTTTTGTTTTGTTTGTTTTGTTTTTTTTAATACTATTTTAAAATTTTTGTTGGATTTCTCTCTTTATTTCCCTTCTTTGTTAGAGGTTTCTTACCTAACATTTATTATCTGTGTTTTCAGTCATTGTCAAGGCAAGAAAGAAAGAATGTGAGCAATCCTAATTAACTGAAATTTTGGCAGTTGGATGCATTTCTCAAAAACTGCCATAAAGATAATGTTTGGTATTTTGCTGGCTACTTCAAAATTATAAACAAGGCTTGAAAGAAGCACTGCAATTTGTTATTTTTAACACTGTGGTGTTTCCCTGCAAGTAGGGACAAGTTTTCCTACAGGAAAATTTGCTGTTCAGAAGCAAAAGCTGTTTGAGTGGAGCAGTTTTAAAGAGCAGTAGCAAGCTTACAGATGCAAAATATAGAGCAAATGAGTTATTTTCTCGTTCAGATGTTGAAAGGTATCATAGATGAAAAGAAAATATACAGTTACTTTGTATTTCTTTTTACCTTACAACAAAAATGTGGCCTTAAAATGATCCTTTAATAGGAAAATAATGATTTATTTATTAGTTATCAGCCTCTCTTGGTTACAGTTTTCCACAGTTCCTAGTCATATACTCCCCTATTCTATCAGAGATGTCAGCTGAGTGTGTGAGTAAATCACTGGAACATCCAGAACAGCTTTTGGAAGCTGTAGCAGTGTTCTGAACAGTTTGCTTAATTCAGAGTTAAGAGTGCTCTTTATCTTTAAAGCCTCTCCTTGTGCCTGGAGAAAATCACAGGCAGCAAAACTGAGCTCGGTGCTGTCCTGTCTCCTTGGGAGGGGGGTCACAAATCTACTGCTCTATTTTTATAGCTGCCTTATAGGGGATAAAAAAACCCTTGTACAGAAATGAAATCTTCTGTTTTGAATGAAGGCTGTTAAATATCTGGAATAAGAGCCATTCACATGGAAATCTAAGTGCTTCTGCTCAGACACTTGTGTGAGCCTTGGTGCTGCATTCACAGGGGCCCAGGTTTGTGTGTTCTGTCACAGCCCCTTCATCCAGGGCCCCTGAGAGCTCTGTCCCTGATTCTTCCTTCTCCACAAGGAGCAGAACCCCTGCCCAGGCAGGGCTACACCACACCTTGGGTCGTACATGGCATTTTCAGATGAACATTTGGTGTTTTTACCATTCTGCTGTGTGTGTGTGTCACCTGCAGCTGCTGGCACATGGAGTGCCATTCCTTCACTGTGAATTCTGCCTTGGGCTGGTTCTTGTTCTGAGTACCAGGAGCAGGTGATCAGTGTTCCCAGCACTTCCCCTCACCCCAGTTCCTGCTCTGAACCATGGGGGAGCCATTTCCTTGCCTCTCTGGATGGAGTGGAGTCCAGAGGACAGTGACCTGGAGGCCTTTGGCAGACAGGGGTGATCCCATCCCTGCCCTCCTGTGCAGTCTAGAGTTTTACCTTGTTATTTCCACTTCAAGATTCCCAGTTCCTAGCTGAGTGAATGCATCTTTTCTGAAAAAAACCATGAAAAATATTAATTTTATTAATTTTTTTTAAGTAGGGCCCTGGGTGAGTGAGCCAGAGCTCAGGGAAGCAGGCCCATGTCTGTTTGCACTATTTTGCACTATTTTGTAAATGTTTGGAATGTCATCTCCAAACATTTTTTCAGGCCTTTTGTTGCTCAGAAATGTGTGAAATCTTCCACAAGTCTTTCACTTGCAGTGATCAATGACTAAGCACCTTCTTGGTGTTTAACACCTTGTTAAGCACCTTCTGTTAGCTTTGATGTTCTCTCCTGCAGTACCCTTTCCTACTGAGATGATAAAAATTTTCTGCTTTTTCTCTTTTCATCCTTGAGCTCTCATTGCAGTTGAGCAGCTGCTCAGCTTTGCCTTTTGGCTTCCTCCTTATCTTCTCTAAATGACACTTTTCACTCAAATATCAATGTTGTATTTCAAATCATTATTTAAAAACAGTGTAAGCACAGTCCTCCCAGTCGTGCTGGGTTTTGGCCCTGTGTGCTGGTGCATGCTGTGTTTGTGAGTGAGCAGGTAACTGAGCCCCTGCTTTCCCCACAGGACTCTGACACCACCATCCCGATCGACGAAACCTTGCAGTTTAATGAATCCCTGCAGAGTGCCCACCGAGGCATGGATGAGCTTATTGGCAGTGGCACCAGCATCCTGGCGGGGCTGAGGGACCAGAGAGTCACATTAAAGGTGGGGGCATCATTTTTTACCAGAAAGTCCCCACATTTTTCTGTGTTCATGCTGATCAGGCTGAGTAAAATCAATATATGTGTTGTTTCAGTACATTGCTCCAAGCTGAGGATGCTGGAAAGGCCCAAAGTTCATTTCAACAACTTGAAATCCTTCCATTTTACCATCCTGTTAGTAATACCTTCATGATCTCTTGGGGCTGGCTGGTCCTCACCCGTGGGGCAGCATCTGGAGTGCTGAATGCTGTGTTTGTTTTTCTGTGGTTGGTGGTTGTTTTTTTGTTGAGGTTCAGGAGGGGCAGTAACTGGCTGGCAGGGAGATACTGGTTCAGGTGAGCATCACTGAGAGCAGCCACAAAGCTGGTGGAGAGCACTGGTGATTAAGATTAGCAATAAAGGTAGTGCACCTCAACAATCTCTCCTTCCCTGCTGATAACAGCTGCATTTCTGCATGTCTCTTCATAGCAAATATTTGTCTTTTATTTTACAGACTGCTCAAAATGATGGTCAATTCTCAGTGAAAAGCTCAAGGATGCAAAAAAACTTTTTAATAAGAAGTATGTGGGGAAAAACTGGACTTGTGAAAAATGTAGGGAGATTCGTCTTCTGATGGGGATAACTGCTGTTCTCAGTTTTGAGACACTGCTTTGTTTTGGGATATATTTGCCAGATTTAGGCATTTTTAATGACATCAATCCCAGATTTGGTCAGGTGTGTCACACCTGCAGCTCCATGGTGTGGCAGGCAGTGCAAGCCTGGTCTGCACTGCAACTGGCACTCGGGAGCTGAGCTGGGTGTGCTCGGGCACTTTGCTGTCCTGACCCCAGGGTTTCAGGCTGCCTGGTGTTCCCTGAACCCTGCACAGGGTCCAAAGCAGGGCTGCAGCTCCTTCTCTGCTCCCTAGTCTGGTGACCAGGCTCTGCACCCACAGATCTTACATGGAGACATTAAAGCAGAACTTGAAGCTGAGTTTTTTCCAAGATGAGGTTTAGCTTCTGGTTCAGGTCACTTGTTCATGACCTGGTGAGTATGGATTTGTTTTAAGACAAGGTCTATTCCTAGAAAAACCTTGAAGAAAACTCAAGTGGGTGGTTCAGTGTTCATTGCAGAGGAATGGTGTTGCTGAGTAGTCTGGCCACAGGAGTGGTGGGCACAGGGAGGGGTTCTGCTGCCAGCTCATGAGGAAAAGGCTGGAAGGACTCATTACTAGTGCTGGGAGAAGATTAGGGTTGTGAATGCTTTGTGGAAAGAGCACCTTCCTTGAAGTTCCTGCATCCCTGAGAGGATTGTGGACATTTGTCCACCATGTTGAGCACTGGGTTGCTTTGGTGGCTGATCACATTGGCCTGGAGCTTCCAATCATCAGTGTCCCTGTGCTGCACACAGGGAATTGCAGTTGATTCTCCAGGCTGGGAAATCACTGATCCAAAGGAATGTCTCATGAGGGACTGGATGAAACACATGGATTCTGGAGGGTTCCTGAGAAGAAGGGGCATCCCACCACAGGAGAGCTCAGCAGTGCCAGAGGAGCCCTGGCAGGACCTGGTGCCCTGCAGGGATGAGGAAATGCTGTTCCCTGTAGTAGCACCAGTCCTGGCTGCTTTTGCAGGCTGGCAGTGACTGCCTGCTTCCTGCTGGCTCTCCCTGGGCCTCCTGGCTCTCCTCCAGCCTTTGCCAGGCAGGGGAGCTCTGGGCCAGCCCTGCATCAGGGAATTGCTGGGTGTCTGTCTGTGGCTGCTGATACACACAGTCTGTGCTTTCAGGGCATGTTCCTGGGTGTTCAGGGGGATGCTGTTTCTCCCTGGCAGGTGAAGAAATGTCTGCTCATGTTCCTTTTCCCCTTAACTCAGTTTTTGTTACACTGACACAGACTTTGTTGCCTGAGAACATCTGGCAGAAGCAGCTGATGTAGAGACAGCTTATAAAGAGAAATGGGTTAATGTGGTTAATGTGGAATCATGGAACATCCCTTGTTGGAAGGGCCTCTCAAGGATCATTGATCCAGCTCCTGGCCCTGCACAGACACCCCAACAACCCCACCCTGAGCATCCCTGGCAGTGCTGTCCAAACACTCCTGGAGCTCTGGCAGCCTCGGGGCTGGGACCATTCCCTGGGGAGCCTGGGCAGTGCCAGCATCCAATGCAGGAAGAGTCTTTTCCTGATTTCCAACCTAAGCCTCCCCCGGCCCAGCTCCAGCTCTTTCCTGGCCTCTGTCCCTGTCACAGAGCAGAGACCAGAGCTGCAGCCCCCAGGGAGGTCTGACCTCAGTCCCCTCTGCTCCAGGTGAAAAACTGACTTCAGCTGCTCCTCCTACAGCCCCTCCAGACCCTTCCCCACCCTCCTGTCCCTCCTGTGGACACTAATAGCTTCATTCTCTGTAACTTTGTGTATATTGGGTATAAATAGACAGGTATGGAATAAATATTCCTAGATTGTCACTTTAACTGATCCAGTTGTACAATTCTACTGTTCCATGACTGCAAGAATTGAAGAGTTTTCCCTTTCTATTGTTTGCTTTCATTTTAAAGCTTCATATTTGGTTTCTGTTCTCCCAGCAAGGTTTGGTTTTGTTCTAAAGCACTGTGAAAGGATTCTGCAGAGACAGGGAGGTGCTGAGCCTGAGAGCAGTCTGCAGAGGGTTAATAGGAGGGGTAGGAACTGGGGAAAATGGATTATGTAGGACTGGCTGAGACACAGCCGGACTTCAGTGAAGGGCCTGAATTACCTTGAACACAAGACACTGATGATGTAGTTAGGTATTGCAAATTTGTGTTTTATGGACTGAGAAACTTCTGCATGTGGGTCTAAATAGTTGGTCTAAATTCTGTCCTTGGGGAGCCTTCCTGGCTTCTTGAGTCAAGTTTATACTCTAAACAATTGCCAATTTTCACTCTTTTAAGACCAAAAATGATGTGGACTATAGAAGAGAGGTTGAAGTTTTTATTTCAAAGTCAAAGCATGGAATTCAGCACTGTGGTGGGGATCTGTGCTGCTGACCTGGCTCAGAGGTGAATGCAGTGTTAGAGCATCCTGAAGTGGGGTGTTCTGTCAGGGATAGCCCGGGTGTCACTGTGAGGGACTGTCCATTGGGCCTGGTGTGGCAGGGCCCCTCCTGGGGTGTGAGGAGGGTCCTGGCCAGTGTCTGGCTGTGGCTCTGTGCTCTGCCCATAGGGGGGTCACTGTTTCCAGCTTTCCTTCTCACCTCCTGTGCCATCGGGACTTTGCAGCCCTGAGTCCTCCCCCTTCTCCCCACTCAGGGCAGTATCCCACCCTGACTGTGCCTGGAGCACGTCTCTGTGCCTGTATTTCACACTGTTTCCTCCAACCACTGCCCTGAAATAAGGCAGGAGGATTGCTGTTGTGTCCCTGCTGCTGATGTAATGGTGGCATCCATATTCCTAATAATACCAGGTGTCCTGCCTGCAGCACCCTGTGCTTTTCTGTGGAAGGATTTCAGGAAATGGCATTAATTATCTGCCTTTTTTCTGCTATTTATCTTGCAAGTGTCTGGACCTTCTCAGTCTCTGTTGGTATGAACTGTACTTCAGCAAGGGGAACTCTGCACAAAACCTTGGCTGGTCAGAGCTCCTTTTAGACTGTGACAGGAGAACTCTCACTCCTCCCTAAGGAATGCATTTTTCTGAGACATTTTTTTATCTTGTCTCTGTCCAGACAGATTGTTTTGTGTCTTTTAACCATGTTCCTGTTCATGTGTATGAATTAATTAGCTTGCAGTTGTTTCCAGGGTCCTGTGGCCACCTCCTGTAGAATGGTAGGGATGGTTGGCTGAGAGAAGTTCCATGGATTAGAATCCATCACTCCTCACCCATGATGAAATACTCTTGGACTGTGGAATAGGAAGGCTCAGAGCATGAGGGTGACTGTGTCTTTGGTGTGTTGTTGTCCTCAGGGCACTCACAAGAAGATCCTGGACGTTGCCAACATGCTGGGCCTGTCCAACACGGTGATGCGGCTGATCGAGAAGCGCGCCTTCCAGGACAAGTTCCTCATGCTGGGGGGGATGGCCCTGACCTGCCTCATCATGTTCCTTGTCGTGCAGTACCTGACATGAGCTGCTGGCCTGCAAGAGGACTGTCTCCAGGACTGACTGTCCTCTGGGTGCTGCTTTGGATGAGCCCTTCCCGTGGACTTCAGAGTTTACAAATCCCACTCGGCCAGTGTCACATGGAAAGCACGTCGGGAAATGGATCTGTGTGGGGACACTTGTGCTTGAGAATGGCCCTGTGAAAGTAACCCCTGGCCTTTACTGCTCTCCCCTCAAGCCTGCAGGTCTAATGGTCTGGTTAATAGGAAGCAGAAGTGAACATTGTGCCCAGCTGTAGCAAGGCAGGCGTGTCCCTTTGGGCACACAGGGATGGGAGGATGCAAAGGCACCGCCCAGGATGCAGCGATCTTTGCTGTGCTGGCCAGCACCCACCTGAGCCCTGCATTTTGCAGTGCAAGAATGGCACAGAGAATTTCACAGTGTTCATTGGCCTGAACTCAGCCTGTGGGACTGAGTGTGCAAAAAGAGTTGGGAAGTGAAGGGCTCCCATCTGTGGTTCCATTTGCTTGGAGGAGGAGGATTTGTGGGGGAAGAGTCTTAGAACACGGTTATAACCTCAGTTAACTTCACACACAGTATTACCCAGCACAGATCTCCCTGGTTTAGGCTGAAATGCTGCTCTGCTCATCTGAGGAATGTTCTGGTACCGCTCTCTGCCCTGCTGCTTCCCAGGGGATGCTCAGTGCCACATTCCTCCTGCTTCCACTGGGATGCACATCAGACCTGTGGCATCTCCCTGGGCCTCCTGCCAAATCCAGCCTCCAAGACTGACATTTCTAATGCTGGAGCACAGAGGTTTGGGGAACTGTGTTCATTTCCTGAGCTGCTGGCTGGGTTTGGGGCTGTGGAGCTGGAACTTGTGAGTGGATGGAGCAGGTGAGACCCCTGTGCTCCCTGGAGGTGTGGGATTGTTCACAGAGCTGGAGCAGGTTCCTCACACAAGAGGAACAGTGGGATCAGCACAATAGGCCTGGCACTGAAAATCAACTCAGGAGAGTTTCCTCAGGTCTGTGCCTTGGGCTGGTGATGTCCCCATCCTTGGGAAGGGCATTTCCCGTGGTCCCCTGTGCACTGGGGAGTTACTGTGAAGGACACTCAGGTGTCACCTCCTGGGGGTGCTGCTGGCTCACACTCGTCCCCTTGGGGTCGTTCCCTGTCCCAGTGAAACACTGGAGCTGTGAGATCCTAATCTCAGTCCAGCTCTGCTTCCCCTGCAGCCTGGGGGTGTGATAGAGGGGCCATCCTGGGATTTTGGGCATCATCCATTTCAATCACCCTGCAGATCCATTCCCATCCCCATGTGTGACAGTGACACAGATGTGTCATATCCAGCTGATGTAGCCTCATGCTGGCAATTCCTTCCCTGTTTCCTGTCTGGAGTGGTTGTGGGTCTCTGGGTTAGTAACTAATCACAAGTTCTACATTCTGTCCTCACTGCACTGAGCTTTGCTTTCATTATCTGGCCTGTTGCAAACTGGGAGAAAGGTTTTTAATAACTGAAAAAGTTTTAGAAGGAATTTGAGGGAATATGGGCCATGAAACAGAGCCATGCTGGTGACCAGAGCTGGGGTAGGGCCCAGCCAGACACCTGGAATGATCATGGCCCCTGTTCATGGGCTTCTCCATGTGCTTGCTACTTCTGAAGTGTTTCCTGCTCTTGGAGTTCCCCATTTGTCCAGGTTTTCCAAGGAAATACTGTAGCACAGCAAACACGAAAACTGGTTTTCATTTGAGCCCAAGGGAGTAAGGAATTAAAAAGAAAAGAGGGAATCTGCAGTGATGGAGCATCTGTCTTGCTGTGTAATAGAAATCATAAATCCAAATTTGCCTGAAATTTAGTTTGGATATGAAATCTGATGGATTCAGCCCTAGAGAGGGCAGCCAAGCACTTGCAAGGGGTCCCTGGCAAATCTCAGTTCTGATGAACTGATCCAATTCCACTGGATTTTACAGTGTTGGGGTTTAGGGTTTAAGGCTCTCATTGTTTAAAGTTTCTGCAGTTGTGACCTGGTGTAGCAGGGCTTGTCTTACACCAAGGTGGGACTCTTTCCTTTTGGGCTGTGGTAGAGCCATAAGATACTTGGAACTGGATTCTTTTTCTGTTTCTGAGCCTAGCTTGGCATTTTAATAGATGCTTTCCTGTTGATTTATTTTGTCTTCTGGAGTCTCCTTGTCCCTGCACAGGCTGATTTCCCCTTGGTGAGCTAAGTGTCCTTGCTACCCATGGCATCCAAAGGTGACACCTGGGGCTTGAAGGAACTGGATTTGGGGACATCAGACATGTTTGTAGTGCCTGCAAAGTCCAGAGGAATTTCCAAGGGCATTTCAGGTGGTTTGTGTGAACCCAAAATCCTCCATTGCAGTGGGACATGGCAGGGACACGGGTGGTTCCTTCAAGCCCCACATCTCCCCTTGGGATGCAGTGGGACATGAGCTGGAGCCCTGGTGGGATTGTGGGCCCTGCTGAAGGAAATGAGCTGGAGCTGGAGCCCTGGAGGCTTTGCTGCTGTAGCTTGGTGGAGTTTCCTTCCTCACTGAACACCTCACTTCTGCTTCCAAACTGTGGCACGAGTTCCAGCTCTGGGCTGAGCTGCTCTCTCAGGAGGGGACTCTGGGAATTCAGTTGCCTCTGGAATAAACTTTTTACCAGTATTTTATACATAAAGGAGCAAGGGTGGGACATGATTCATGTGATGTTCTGTGAATAAAGATTTTTTTCAACCAAAATGACATTGTTTATTTTTTACCTTAGATGTCGGGGCCAAAATAAACAAGCAGGACCAGTTCCAGGACTGATGCTGGTTCACTGTGGGTGGAGGAGGGGTCTGCAGGGGAGGGGGGCTCCCATTTGGGTCACAGTAGGAAATGGGTCCCACTGCCCTGGGGTTGGAAGGAGAAGGAGCCTGGGCTGGCTGTGCTGGACCTCACTGAGGTGAGAGGAAATGTTGGATTTGTCTTTACAAACAAGCCGTGGATCTGCTGGTATGTAGAGATAAACAATGGGATGGATTCCACTGATTGATGAATGGAAAGAGATAGTTGCCTTTACAAACAAACTGTAGGGCTGCTGATAAATGAAATTGGATATCGAAAGATGAAAGAAGCAACGGGGAAAAACTATGAATTCTGTAAGAATTAAAAATTAGAAGGGAGGGTTGTACATTAGATGGGAATTTCAGGTATCAGGCGTTCTGGGAAGTCTGCACTTCTCAAGTACCTCAGCCAAAGGGAAAGAGGGAAATGTGGGTGGGAAATTGGGATAAAAAGGGAGAGGCTGTGTCCTCCAAAAATTTGAGAGATCCCAGGGGAATGTCCCGTGGCCTCTCCCTTTATTCGAATAAAGCAAAAAGGACTCCTCTGTCTCCTTTTTGGACATAAACCTCTGGTGTTTGTGGATTAATTTTCCTGACCCTGGTCAGCCTGGGGGGATGTGCCAGGCTGGGACAGCCCCAGAGCTTGTGGTGCAAGGGAGCTGGACATGGGTGGGTGATGGAACAGGAGTGGGGGCAGCTGGGGGCACATCCAGGCCCTTGCTGTGCTCTGCCCACTGCCCCTGACAGGGACCAGACCTTCCTCCCTCGCTCCCTGCCAGTGATGCAGGTGAGGGGCTTCTAATTAAGAGAAGTGAAGGAAGAACTTGGAGGGCAAAATGTGGCTGATAAAGTTGATAAAGAGATAGTAGATTTAAAATGTGAGATCAAGGGCTTGGATTATCTTCCTCTTGCTCTTAAATTCTGTTTTGAAGTAATTCCATTCCCCACAGCTACAAAACACTTATTAAATCAGAAAATACCGAGCAAGGAATGCAGAAAGTTGTCAGTGCTGTGAGTTTGAACTTGCTGCAGAAGTGGGGCCAGCCCGTGGCACTGCTGGGATGGGGCTGCACTGGGTCCTGTCCAGGGTGGGCCCTGAGGGGCTTTGATACTGTGAGCAGCAGCTGGAGATGAGACTGATGTTTCAGGAGTGGGTTTGAGTGTGATTAAGCATGTGGAAGAAATCCAGGAAAGGTTTTATGTTTTATGTCCTGGTTTCACCTGGGGTTGAGTTAATTTTCTCCCCAGCAGCTGTTCCCAGGGCTGTGTTTGGGAATTAGTATGGGAATAATGTTGATAACACAGCAATGGTTTGTGTTTACTCTAAATCAAGGACTTCTCAGTTTCCCAGGCTCTGCCAGTGAGCAGAGGCTCAAGAAGCTGGGAGGGAGCAGGGCCAGGACAGGTGACCTGAACAGGCCAAAGGGATTTTCCACACCACAGAGAGTCACTCCGAGTGTATCAACTGGGAATGATGGGCTGGGACGGGTCAGAGGGTGGTGAACAACTGTAGTGGCCAGCACTTGTCTGTCTTGGGTTTTATGTCTCCCCCTCTCTCCCTCCCTCAGTATTTTTTTTATTATTATTAATTATATCTAACTTTGTTTCAATTATTAAACTGTTCTTATCTCAACCTGCAAGTTTTCCTTTTTTTTCCCGATTCCTCCATCTGCCTGCGTGGGGAGCAGTGAGCTGTGATGTTCAGTTGCTGGCTGGGGTTAAATCTGAGAGGGAAACATTTTTAAACAAAGACTAAACCAGTCAGTATTTGAGCACTTAAAACCAGTGAAAAGGAGTAAGGTGTGTGCAGAATAGAGGGGGAGATAATGAGTGATAAGAGATAATGGTTGGGTGGGACAGAATTAATTTAGAAGGAAGAGTGTGGGTAAGTACCAGAGGATGTTTGTACTTGGCCCAAAGCCTGCTGTGTCTGCCTCTCCCTGCTCACTGTTCCTCAGGTTAACCCTGGAATGTCCAAGCACAAGGGGATGTGTTAAAAATCAACCTCCTTTAGTGCAGCAGGCAGCACATGGTAACACTGCCCAGGGCTGGAAGCCTCAGCTGAGGAGGAAAATGTTTCTTCCCGGGATGTAACAGGTGAAGGTGTTGTGGTTCCTCAGCCCCGTGTAAAGGAAAAGCTCTGTCAGCTCCCTGCTCCTGCCCCACTTTCTGTCCCCAAGGCCTGTGGGTGATGGAGCCCTTCCCTCCCCAGCCCCCTGAGTGCTCCCTGCACCAGCCCCGGGGGATTCCTGGCATGGAGTTTCCCTCCTTCCCCCCCAGGCATCGTTGGGATCCTGTTCCACCACTCTTGGGTATCTTTGTGCCTTGGCTTAGGAAGGGGAAGGGCCAAGAGAAAGGAAGGGGGACAGGGGATACAGGATCAGAGTCCTATCAACGTTCTGAAAGGGGCTGTAGAAATTAAAGCCCAGCAGGACTGGAAATTATCCTGGAGTTGCAGAATACAGGGCAGGAATATTGTCAAAGCCCTTGGCCGTCTTGGTGTCTTGGGTTGCAATGCAGGATGTGACCAAAAGTATGGATTCTATCACCATCTGTTGAGGCTGGATGGGACAGTGATCCTGATCTCTGTGGGAGTTATCCTCTGCTAATGGGCCAGGTGTAAAAACCAGCTGGGGCAGTGTTCTTTATCTTTTCCACAGCCCATCCTTCCTCCAGGAAGATATTGTCTGTTAATGGGCCATTGAGTCTCACTGAATGACTGATTAAATTCCATCATCCCATTGGGAGATGCTCCAGCCAGGGGCAGGAGCCAAGCCTTTCCTACCCAGATCAAAGCTGAGATTTGGAACACCAAGGCAGGCTTTTCTCACTGGATTCCAGAGGAAAACCAGAGCCTTCCACAAAACCACCGGGCCTTTGGAGGAAAACTGCACCTTGTGCAGGAGCCCTGCTCCAGCAGAACCACATCTGTCACTGCAGGAGGATGCAGCCACCATTGAATGGCACTGCACCAACCCCTGACTGACTGACAGGGGTCAGCTTGGATTCTGACTGTCAGTGTTTTTGGGTTTGTTCTCTGTAATACTTTATTTCTATTTTAATTTCCCTAGTAAAGAACTGTTATTCCTATTCCCATATCTTTGCCTGAGGGCCCCTTAATTTCAAAATTATAATAATTAGGAGGGAGGGGGTTTACATTCTCCATTTTAAAAAAGAGGCTCCTGCCTTTCTTGACAGACACCTGTCTTTCAAACCAAGACAGCTGGACACAGCAAAAGGGAGCTGCTGCCTTGGGCCATTATGGGATGTCTGCATCAGGTGAGTAGGGATGGGGTCAGGAAAGAAAGCCACTTGGCAAGTGATACAGGTGGGAACAGAAAGGCCAAGCAGAGTGAACCCTCCTGAGGGAACAAAGGGAGAAATGGTGGCAAGGACAAGGGACCCCAGGTAGGCTGGGGATGTCCAGCCTGGAGAAGAGAAGGCTCCCAGGAGACCTCAGAGCCCCTTCCAGTGCCTAAAGGTTTACAAAAAAAAGAGGGTAAGGGGCTTCTTACACAGTCATAGGACAAGGGGAACAGCTTTCAGCTAAAAGAAGGGAGATTTAGATTAGATGTTAGGAAAAAAATTCTTCCGTGTGAGGATGGTGAGACCCTGGCACAGGTTGCCCAGAGCACCTGGGGCTGTCCCTGGATCCCTGGAAGTGTCCAAGGCCAGACTGGCCACGATTTGGAGCACTCTGGGACAGTGGAAGGTGTCCCTGCCCATGGCAGGGGGTGGCACTGGATGGGCTTTAAGGTCCCTTCCAACCAAGTCTGTGATTTTGACTCTACATCCCATCTGCTCCTGGCAAGGACATCCAGCCTCCAGGGAATGGGGTGAAGGCTCTGGCACTGCACAACTGAGGATTCAACACAGCAGTATGTGACAGCAAAGTCCTTACTTTGTCACCAGGATGGAGGTGCCCTGTGACAAATACAAAACAAGCAGAGTGAGCTGGGAATTCCCAAAGCACTGCAGGAGCAGCAGAGCCACGGCCTCCCTCTGCCCTTTGGCTTCCCTGCCCTTCACAGGAGGTGGCAGGGGCAGGATGTGCTCAGGGACAGTGCCCAGGGTATGGGATTTCAGGACATGCTCCAGGACATTGCCCAGGGTATGGGATTTCAGGTCTCTGGGCTCTGAGAGCTCAGGTGTCAGTCACAGGTGGGCTGCACCCACCCTACAAGACAGACCCTCTTCTCATGGACCCTATCCCCCCAGTTCTTGTGGCCCGGGGGTGTTTGAAGTCACAATCACAACCTTCCAAGCCTGGTCCTTTCCAGAAAGGACCTCCAGAACCCCCACCCAGGCTACTGGATTCACCCCAGACTGGGGGAACAGTGTTAATTGTGTTAATTATGTTAATTATATAAAGGAGCTCTCCTCCTCCACAGCACAGACACATGTGAGCCCCAAGGAGGAGAAGCTTTCACCCACTGCCAATTAAAGGAGCTCAGGCTTATGGTGCCCAATTATGGCATTTACCTGTAAAATTGTAGTGCCCACAAATCCTACAAACGAGCTACTGCTGTCAAACCTGAAATTATGACACCTGGTGTTTGTCACCGCTTTCATTCCAAGTGACAAAAAAAAATAAATGAAGGTGGAAAGGAGAGCTTCCCATGTCAGCACTTGCTGACTCTAAAGAAAAGCAGTCCCAGGGCATTTGAAACATTTTTATTCTAAATTGCCAACAAAAACCTTGACTTAAATTGACAGAATTTTAAAAGAACCCTAATTTTGCACATTCCAGTCAATATGGATTATTTTCTAGTGGTCGCATACAGATGGTGGAAATCCAGTCTTTAGAGGAAAATATGAAGGCATTTATCTCTTTCTAGACAAACACCATGTCTGGCTTCTTAATTCTTTATGATTGTTTATTTAGATCCCATTTTGTACTTTGCATGTTTAGAAATACATTGCTTGATCTGAACATTTTCAGTCCTAAACATGAATTTTTACTGATTTAAACCATTCCTACTCCCTCCCCTCCCCCAATACAGAACAGGTACCTGAGAGCTCTCTAACATGTTTTAAGCCTTAGAAAACTGCAAAACTCTAATGGAAACTGGAAAAGCACCTCAGTGTCCTCCTGAAACTTCCCCTGTTTGGAATTGTGTGTGATGATGCAAGGAACTTGCAGAGGGATTCTCTCTTAAGGTCTGCCTGGGGAAGCCCCTCACACACAGGAGACAAAGGTGACAAAGGCAAGGCTGAAAGTGTGAAGGTGCAAAAGTTAAGGTCAGGATGCTCTCAAAACAGTCTCTGCAAATGACAACACGGTTTAAAATCCAACCTGAACATTTGCCATACACTGAGTGGACAAACTCAGACTCCAACAAGATAAAAACAAAACGTGCATGGACAGAAGAAATACTTCTAAGTTTGGCTGCTCCCAATGATTTTAATCTCAGCCCCTAAAAAGGAAGATAGTTTTTGCTTTGTAAGGACATGAATTCTGGAGCCTCAGTTGCAGGGAGTTTGCTGCAGCTCCCCAGCAAACAGCCAAAACTTCTCCCAAATGTCAGGAGAATCCTGTCAGAATCCTGTCAGGATTTCCCACGTTAAAATGTCTAGCAGGAGTTCCACATAATCCCTCCAGGCTTCCTGAGAACAGAAAGATGTTTAAGGCATAGGGCAGAAATTCCTGGAAGTTACTGTTGGGTCCTGACTTCCACTGAAATGGGACTGTAGCAGCTGCTGCTATGCCAGGCCTGAATTCTCCCAAATCTGCCATTCCTGCAGGACAATCCCCCTCCCATTGCTGCATCCCTGTTTGCAGTTGGCAGTGACCAGGAGCATCCAGCTCCAAGTGCACACAGGTTTTAAAGTATTAAGCCAAGGGACAACACTCTGGGGGATATTTTCAGCCTGCCAAACTGTTCTGTGTCCCACTGTCACTCCTCTAATTAGGAACCTAAGCAGATCCTACCTCCTCTGCTTAAAATCACTCTCTCAGTCCCCACTCTTTAAAACCCTTCTGATACTGTTTCCCAATCTTTGGAGCACACAGAGGAGTCTCACAGATGATTCCCTGTTAGACAAAACAGAGGCTTGCCAATTCCGATGTTTTCCTGTTCACAGGGAGTTATCATGACCCAGGGAAGGTTTCTGAGTCTGTTTATTTCTTCAAGACTATTTCTTCAAGAACAGTAACAATACTCGTCAAGTAAAGATGAGGGTAACTTTAAAAACAAGTACCTGGGGGAAACATCTGGCAAACAAGGACAGTTCCCCATATTGAAATGTTGCACGAAACACATTATGCAACAAAAGCCCAGTGTAGAGAGTCCTGCCATCAGGGCCAGAGCATGTCTGTCATCTGCAGGAGCTCTCCTGTCCAAATCAAGGAGACACTTACTGCTGGGGCAAAACCAAGTTCCAGGGGGAGGAATTGATACTTCGAATTCTGTAAAGGACAAGATACAATTTTTGCATGAGATGGACAAAGATACAACAACTTCTCCCACTCCTCCAAGGGACAGTGGCCTCAACAGAGGCAGAAATCGTCCCCTTGGCAACAAGGCTTGTCCACGACTGACATTTCAGTTTGGTTTGCCAGACTCAGCCCAACACTGTGGCAATTGCACAGTCCCTGGCTGTGCAGGAGCTGTGTCTGCAGTGCTTTGAGAGCACCAGGTTTAGTTGCTCACAGTGGGAATCAGGACAATCAATCCTCAAAGCATCTTTAAGCTGTTCCTTTGCTGCTGAAGGCAAATAGAAGTTTTTGATTTCAGCATTAGACACTTCCCCATGGGAAGCTCCTTCTCTCCCTCCCCCAGATGGAATTTGATAGCTTCTTCCCCCAGTTGGTTTAAGGACCCCCTGTTTCACCCCAGCTCTGACTTAGATGGGCCTGACAGTGAACAGAGCACAAAGCATAATTTGGTTTAAGTCAGGGGCAGGGTGGGGGGTGCAAGGGGATAATGGGGATGCTGTGGAAGGGCATGTTTAGAGAGACAATGTGGCCAGGAAGCAGCTCTGCCTAACCTGGGCCACAGGAATGGAGCAAGGAAAGAACAGAGAGGCCTCAAAGGAAGGACACAGAGAATGATCTGAGCAGCAGCTGTTCAACAGAACCCCTCCTGTGCATGCAGTGGGAGCCAGGAAGTGCTGCTACAGGCAGAGATGTCAGGAGCTGTCCCAGCTCTGGACTGGGTGCCCTGTGCTCAGTACTCACAGCCCTGCAGACACCGTGAACGGGAGGGTCTCAGGGGGCCGCATCCATGAGGGCAACGAGTTGTTCTGCTCACTGATGGTGCTGCAATTAAGGGACTTTGGTTACTTCTGGCAAATGTACTGGCTCACATTTATGCATTTTAGTGCAGCAAGGCCCTGGGGGGATGGTGCTGTGGAGAGCTGGATGTGCTCTGGACACTCAAAGGTCTTTAAAAGAGTCTGACAGGAGGAACCAGGCAGTGCTGCTGTCAGTCCCCATGGAAGAGCTCACACTGAACTCAAGAGCTGCCAGGAGCAGGATTATTGCTGAACCATAATGAACCTGTTAAATAAACCTTCAAACACCTTGGGCAGCTCTGGTGGTGCCACCACATCCCACAGCCAGCCAGGGCAGTCCCCTCCTGTTCACAGCTGGGCACTAAGCCCAACTCTGACCATGCTTTGGAAAGGGCATGAGGGGAGGATTCTGCTGACACAGGGCCCAACTCCAGCACCTCTGCCAGGCCCCAGGGGGCAGGAGCTCACAAGGGATCTCCCAAGCACTCAAAGGGACCACAGGGTGTGATCACCTTTCTCCCTGCACATTGCCCAGCCATCCATCAGTCCCTGAGCACAGCCCATAGGCAGAAAGAGCAGCCTGCCACAGGCACACAGGAGCAGGATCTGTGCTCCTGAGAGTTTCCTTCTCTAGTCCAGGCCATATGAGGAAGCAGGTCACACTGAACCAGCAGCATCTCTCCTCCCAGAGCTGTACAGCAGCAAAGGCATCTCCTCCAGCCATCAAGGTGAGGCTGAGAGATGGCTGCAATATCTGTTCAAACAAACACTGGTGTAAAAAAATCAAGCTTGCATTCCCAACCTGTTTATGGCAGAGTTGATCACTCCCCACACAAAAGTAGACTCAGATCCCTCCAGCAACTCTGTGAAAGAAAGCAGATGTTGTGGCTCAGAACTAAGAAACCCCAGAAACCACCATCTGATCAGTGGCTTAAATGGCTTCCCACTGCCAGAGGGCAGGGCTGGATGGGATATTGGGAAGGAATTTTTCCCTGGGAGGGTGGGAAGGCCCTGGCACAGGGTGCCAAGAGCAGCTGTGGCTGCCCCTGGATCCCTGGAAGTGTCCAAGGTCAGGATGGATGGGACTTGGAGCAGCCTGGGATAGTGGAAGCTTTCCCTGCCCATGGCATGAGATGAACTTTAAGGCACCATCCAAGCCAAACCATTCAGGGATTCTGTGATTCTATGATCAGGAATATCTCTGTCATATTTTTACATGTTCAAGAGGGAGGAAAAGTTGACCTATGAGGATTGTGTCTGCTTCACTGAGGAACATGTTTCCATTGCTATCACTGCACAGAAGGTACAAAAGCTCTTATGGGAGGAAGGGATGCTTGGAAATCTCTCTCCATGCTCATTCTGGCAGGCATTTTGGATTGTTCTCTATACCAAGCCAAGCCTGATGGGTGGAGAGATCCATGTTCCTAGGAATGAGCATAGCCAAAGTGTCCTACAAGGCAGCCCTGAGTGAAGAGCACCCCTGGCCTCACACTGTCCCAGAGGAGCTGGAGGACACAGCCAGGAAGAAGACAGCAGATGGGGAGGTTCCTCACCTGTTTCCCAGTCTTCAGCACATGGGGGTGCCTGCCATGTGCCCCCATTATTCAGCTGCTCCTGAGGGGGCTCACAGGACCGGCTCACTTCAGGAAGAGAGAACACACAGTGACCAGCACTCCTTAAATCCATTAAGCACTTTGGCTCAAGCTGTAAGATATCTCTAGGCTTTAGAGGAAACCCCACCCAATGCAAACAGACTGGGGACAGCTGAAATCCAGCAACTTTAAATTCGCCTTTTTCAATGAAAAAGAGAAGACTCTGCTCCCTGAACTTCGAGCAGGAATGTTGGAGCCAAGAGGAAACCTGCTGACATGGATGCAGGCATGACTGCCTGTGCACCTCTACACAAGACAGAAAACTGTGTGCCCTGTGATGTGCAAGAGTTAAAAGGGAGATGAGCTCTGCAATAGGAGCAGCCCATCCTTGTGGCCATTAATGCATCCCACTCCTCTTTCCAGAGGCACTTCCTGCATGGTTTTGGGTAAAACCTTTCTATTCAACAAGCCTGGTAACAAAATACATGCAAGGCCTACTGAGAGCATCTGCCACATTCCCAATAAAGCCAAGCAAGTAAGATCAAATTTCCCCAAAGCTGCTGTGTCACACAAAATCCAGATAACCATTTGCCTCCCACTTTTGGGTTATTCCATGAGGAGACCTCAGTCCCCAAGGTGCACAGGGGGTCTCTTACCCACATCCTGCTCCACGAAGGCTTTGTCATTGCACTTCATGATGTGGTCGCTGAGGTCAGCCTGAGGAACCAGGTGACGAGCATTGAAGGGACACGTGGCCAATTTCTTTGCAATTTCAGGGTTGCTCTGGACAAGGGAATACCAAACTTATGTGCCACATCTCTCAAATTCAATTACCTCTTGTTGATACATAGGAAAAAAAGACAGTGATATTTGTGGTGTTGATTTAAAAAATACAATAGTAAACAAGAAATTGGAATGTATTACTTACTAACACTGTTCATCCAGCACACTCCTGCCAAAATGTGCAGGGGCTCAACACGGAACATTTCATCCCTCTCTGAATATTTGGTTATTTGCCATTTAGCTCTGTCCCCCGCTTTCACTAGCTAGTTAATATTTTTAAAGCTCTAGTTCCACCAAAATGAATTTACTGTACTGATACCAAGACATGCTGCCTACAACTGCAACTTAAGTGGAAGGCACAGCAATGCTGGACCGTTTTAAAAACACACTGGCAAACTTAAAAAGGGAACAATCAGATTTTCAAAAGTCTCAGAAAAAAACCCAAAGCTCAGAAGGCTTAAAGAAACCAAATCATGAGGACAACAGAGGAGAAGAGAGGAAGGAATGTGTCATATGAAATGATTTGTAACCAAATTCTTGATTAAATATGGAGAGGGGAATAAACCTCTCCCAAATGCACTGAGCCCAGGATGTGCAGTTTCTGCCAGATGCCCATGAAACAGCTGTTGGCAAAACCAAACTGCCCAGCTCTGCAGTGAAAGAATGAGCTCTGAGGGGCCAGAGGGGTGCATGGAACTCCAACAGTCCTCTATTCAGCTGGAAATGGAAAAATGAATATGGCCTCGCTGTGAGCTGCTGGAAGAGACCAGAGTCTCCTCCCTCAACTAACTATGAAGGACCTCTGTCTCCTTCCAACAGAGCCAGACTGTGAACGGGTAAATTCCTTTGTGCCTGGAGCTACTACTAAACAAATCCTGAAGTTATATGAAATAGAAGTTAAACAGGGCTACTTGTCAGGAAATGCAGAACACAGGGTGGATTTGCATGGACAATCACTCGGTCACTGCTGTCCAGCTCTGCTGGGTTTTGTTCTTTTCTGACCCAGAGATGAGGCAACTGAGAAGCATTTTAAAAAACTTTTATTGCATTTTCAGGCCTTCTGTCAAGCCCTAAAAACTCTCTACAAATCCATTTCCCACACAGCTCACCTCCTTACACTTCACCAGGTGATAGGGAAAGCGCCGTGCTCTGATCAGATGGTGTTTGACCAACGGGCACTGGATTAACCTCTCTGGATCGAGCATATCTGATGGAACATGAGAATAGGGAAGAGAACAGGGAAGAGCAGATGGTTAGGAAGATGAGAATCAGTCACACAGTGCACTGGGGAAAACCCCACACCACATCAGGGCTGTGGCCTGAGGGAGTTAAACCAGTTGCTCTTAGTTTGAAACCATTCATTAAGGCAGGCACCTGCTTTGCATAACCTAATTAATTAAACTTGAAGTTCTCATAACTGGGACATTAGTTAAAACAGAGGAGAGTCAGCATCACTGAGTATAATAATTCTTTAGGTTACCTTCTTATTAGGGAGGCAACCACCCTTACTCCAAGGGAAAGTCAGCAGCACTTTCCAGCTCTCCTGGAGGAGGAACAGCAGTGGGATCACATCACACCCACCAGCACTTTCAGCACCTGAACCAAATCTTTTTTCCATCAACAGCTTGTTTTGCTGGAGGCAGAATGTCAGGGAACTGAGTTACATTCTGGAGGTAGCAGTGTGCCTAACACCATACATGAGACTCTGAATGAAGCTTTTAATCATGTAATTATTTAGGAGCTGAGGTGTTACTAAAGCAGCAAAACCACTGGGGAACAAACATACTGAACATGAAGCAGTGTGAATCTGTGCATACATAATTGTTTACAAAATATATTAAAACATAAATATTAATAAATATGCGTATTCTCAGTGAGGAGGAGAGGCAGCCAGGAGGAGACACAAGGCCCCACTACTGCCTGTGGGTCTGTCTGTGGGGTACAAAGCAGGGAGCCTGGGCTGCTCCCATCCTTTCTGCTCTGCCACTGTTGTTGCCCGGGCTTTCAGCACTTTTAGGATTTGATTATGCAGGAGCTAACCCAGCTCTAGGCACTGGCTGCTGCTGCCTCTGCTCTCCTCTCTCACACACGTGGCTCCATCAGGGCCCAGGCTGTTAAAATGCTGTTCCAGAAGTCTCAACGAGCAGAATTCATGCTGAGAGCCACTTGGAAAGAGAGGGGACAGACAGGATCCTCATTTCCATCAGGGCTGGGCAGCGCTGCTGTCTCTGAGCACCTCTCACCTCAACAGCCCACTGGGGCATTAGAGCAGCTGAAAACCCACCTGGCTTTGCATCGGCACAGCTGCCCCTGGAAGAGCAACCACAAGTGGTTTTGTCACCAAAAACGCTGTGAAAAATAAAACACTCTAACACCGTAATTTCAGTATTAGAAAGCAGCATCCTCTATTTTGGCACTGGCTGCGTGGGAGATGCTCTTCCAAACATCCCCTCCTCCCTTCTGAGGAGGGTTTCTTCTCCTTGAATGCATTCCAACTACGGGCTCTGGCCAAGATACAGCCTTTATCAGGCACACAGTCTTTACTCTTATGGCTATGATACCCACTTGTGCACGTTTATCACTGATATAAGTAAATACAGGATTAAGCACTGTCTGTTTAAGGAATTCACAAGACTAAACACTATTTGTTAAAGATTTTTCCAGTAGTTTCTCTCTCTGAATTGGCTCCACACAAGACCAAGTGCGTTGCCAGTGAAGGAAAAGGGGACAGAGACGAGCACCAGAGGAAGAGCAGAGCCCCAAAAACTGCACGTCCAGCACCAAACACCAGCAGCACAGGAGCGGCTCGGGCAGCCAAGAAACTGTAATTTATACACGGCTGAAACCACCAAAGGCACCACAACAATGCAACGTGCAGGGAGATTCTTGTAGCCCTCCCTGTCCACACTGCATGGAAAGGGATCCAAAAACCGCCCGGAGCGGCTGAGCCGGGACACACGGGTGGAAGCCCCGACCGAACCAAAGTCGCTTTGAGAGGAATGAAGGATTTGTCTTTACAAACAAGCTGTGGGCATGCTGGTAGATAAGACAGAGAGATAAAAGAAACAATGGGAAGGATTCCATTGACTGATGAACGGAAAAAGATATCTGTCTTTACAAACAAACTGTAGGTTTGCTGATAAATGAAACTGGATATTAAAAGATGAAAGAAGCAAAAGGGAAAAACGATGAATTCTATAAGAATTAAAAATTAAAAGGGAGGGTTATACATTAGAGGGGAATCTTAGGCGTTCCGGGAAGTCTGTACCTCTCGAGTACCTCAGCCAATGGAGAAAGAGAGAGGGAAATGCGGCCGGGAAATTGGGATAAAAAGGGAGGCTGCGCACTCCAAAAATTGGAAATCCCAGCAGAATGCCCCAGGGCCTCTCCCTATATTCGAATAAAGTAAAAGGACTCCTCCCTCTCCTTTTTGGACATAAACCTCTGGTGTTTGTGGATTAATTTCCCGGCAGCTTTATTCACTCAAATCCTGCAGGCCGGACCTCACCCGCACCAGCTGCACGTGGTGTGCCCACCTGGGCTGGATCACCGAGAGGGCCCGGCCGGCTCGGGCACTGAGCCTGGACCCGGCCCGGGATGCGGGACAGGCCCCTGTACCGCGGGTGTGCTCCCGGCCCTGCCCGCAGCCGACGAGCGCTTTCCCCATTCCCCCCAACCCAGCCCAGCCTCACCCAAGTCCTCCTCGAGCTCCATGGCGGGGCCGGGCGAGGCCGCTCCGGGGCGGGATGTGGGGTCGGTGTCGGTCCGAGTCCGCCGCCGGCTGCGGGGGTGGTGTGGCCTCGGCTGTGGGGCCGGGCCGGCTGCGGTGATGGGTGTGGCTTCGGCTGTGAGGCCGGAGCGGTGACTGGGATGGCTGTGGGGTCGTTGTGGGGTGCCTGTGGGATGGCTGTGGGGTTGTTATGGAATGGCTGTGGGGTTGTTGTGGGGTGGTTGTGGGATGGCTGTGGGGTCGTTGTGGGGTGCCTGTGGGGTGGCTGTGGGGTCGTTGTGGGGTGCCTGTGGGGTGGCTGTGGGGTCGTTATGGGGTGCCTATGGGGTGGCTGTGGGGTCGTTGTGGGGTGCCTGTGGGGTGCCTGTGGGGTCGTT